CGGTGGAAGAAGGGGAGGCGGACCGGTAAGGAGTGTGACCAGCCCAACTGAGGGTGACCCTGCAGAGCCCACCATAGAGAGTCTATGGTGGGCTCTGCAGGGTCACCCTCAGGTGAGCTATGTGGGCTCTTCAAGGGGTGTAACTAGAAATCACGGGGCCCCATACAAAACATTTTTGTATACGTTTCTCACACGTATTGAGCTCTTAGTTTGCCGTTGACTGGGCGGATCTATAGGAAAGGCCGCGGCCGTCTACTTACAGCATATACATGATGACGCCGATGCTCCATATATCGCACTGCTGGCTGTAATCGTGAGCGTTGATGATCTCTGGCGCTGCCGGGGGAAGCGGAAAACCAAATATTAATAATACACATAACACTTATAAACGCTGAAACTGGCGGCGCGCACAACCTGCTGATGGCCCTAATTTATCCCCTGGTGGGGGGCGGGCAGATGTTGGTATGAATTATGCAGCGGCCCCGGTGTGTTCTGCCGCTCGGCTCTCCCAGAAACGATGACTGGCTAAATATCCCGATGATAGGCGACTTTTTAATTGTTCCGAGCGACGGCGGAAACAGATGGGGGCGCGGGACGCCGGCGAGCCGCGCTTGTTAAATCTTTGATGTCCTGGATGCTGATGCTGCAGGAGACGCGCCGACGGGACGGATGAATGACAGCCGGAGAGATGGAGGCAAACTAACCATCGACCGGCACAAACCGCTCTACAAATGTAACAACCCGAAAGTAAATGTAACAATCGCATTCTCTTCTTTGTTACGTTTTGTTCTGTTCTCATTGAAAGCGTTTTGTTGTCTCTGATCGGTAACACACAAAAAGACAAAGACAACACACGGTCTTTTGGATACAGGAAAAGGAAATGCTGTGTCTCCAGAGTCTTTCATTGGATGCTTGCGGAAAGACCGGAATTCTTTTTCATTGGACACCTCTGTTGTCGCTCCAAAACGCGCGTGCGTCGCGCGTTTTTAAAATAGGAAAACGCGCAAAAACGCGCAAACTGGCGGGGGGAAACGCGCGTGTGACGCGCATATATAAAGCGTTCAGGTGTGAACCAGGCCTAAGTGCAAAACTGTTCTGTGTACTCTGCAGAGTTAGTTCATCTCTGTGAACTATTCATACAAGTAGGGACGCACCGATATATCGGACGCCGAAACATATCGGCCTGAAAATGGCACTTTTGGCTAAATGCCGAAAGTGCCATTTTCCTGCCGATACGTCGGCGCATCCGTGATTTCTTTCCTCCCCGCTCGGCGCAGCTCTGTGTCCCACCAGGGAGGCGAGAAAGTGACAGCCGGCCAAACGCTGCGTGAGGAGAGCGCTGTGAGCGGCCGGTGTCTCTCCTCCCGCACCGCTCGGCCGCCTATCACAGTGCGGCAGAGCGGTGTGGGGGCGGAGACAGCGCTGTCATGGGAGGCTGAGCTCTCCTCCCTTCACCGCTCGCTCAGCCTCCAGTGACAGCGTGTCAGAGAGGAGATCAGTGATCGCTGAGTGTTTGCAGATAATTGAGGACAGAGTATGTTGGCTATATCCTCAATTATGAATGAATGGGAAGTGATCTACATCACATCCACATCACTTCCTGTTCATTCATGACTGTGGTTATAGTAAACATACTCTGTCCTCATGTTATCAATGAACAGAAACACTCAGAGGATTCCTATTCATTCATAACAGGGGATAGAGAAAAATAGATTGCGGACTCCGTGGGTCTCTCTGAGGACTCCGTGTGTCTCTCTGAGGGCTCCGTGTGTCTCTCTGAGGGCTCCGTGCGTCTCTCTGAGGACTCCGTGTGTCTCTGAGGACTCCGTGTGTCTCTCTGAGGACTCCGTGTGTCTCTCTGAGGGCTCCGTGCGTCTCTCTGAGGACTCCGCGTGTCTCTCTGAGGACTCCGCGTGTCTCTCTGAGGACTCCGCGTGTCTCTCTGAGGACTCCGTGCGTCTCTCTGAGGACTCCGCGTGTCTCTTTGAGGACTCCGTGTGTCTCTCTGAGGGCTCCGTGTGTCTCTCTGAGGACTCCGCGTGTCTCTCTGAGGGCTCCGTGTGTCTCTCTGAGGGCTCCGTGCGTCTCTCTGAGGACTCCGTGTGTCTCTCTGAGGACTCCGCGTGTCTCTTTGAGGACTCCGTGTGTCTCTCTGAGGGCTCCGTGTGTCTCTCTGAGGGCTCCATGTGTCTCTCTGAGGGCTCCATGTGTCTCTCTGAGGACTCCGTGCGTCTCTCATCGGGGGAATAAATTAGGGCCATCGGCAGGTTGTAGGGATAGCCTTCCACCTATGTAATGAAGAAGAGGCATTGGGGAGGTGTTCTGTAGTCTGGCCGTAAGGTGACAACGCTCAGATCACAAGACACAATGCTGACTGATTCGGCTCCTGGACTGGGCGGGGGCATGACGTAACCTGGGCACTCGCTCTCTGATCCTGGGGGCCCCATGAAGACTCACCCATATAAACAGGAGTGCCACATGTGGTCTGCAACATGTTCTCACTGCCGACTCCGCCCTTCTGTACCGCCAACCCGAAATCCGTCACCTGCCAATGGGAGCAGAAAGCAACTTTAAAGGGCTATTGAAAAATTCGACTCACCAGAAACGATTTATAACAGAAGGAAGCTGACCGATTATTCTACTTTGTGACATTAGATGGGGAACCTGATAATACTGTATGTGCATATCACTCTCTATAGGCACTATGGGTGACATCACACACTGCAGGGCGCTATCTGGGGCCCTATGTACATATCACTCTCTATAGGCACTATGGGTGACATCACACACTGCAGGGCGCTATCTGGGGCCCTATGTACATATCACTCTCTATAGGCACTATGGGTGACATCACACACTGCAGGGCGCTATCTGGGGCCCTATGTACATATCACTCTCTATAGGCACTATGGGTGACATCACACACTGCAGGGCGCTATCTGGGGCCCTATGTACATATCACTCTCTATAGGCACTATGGGTGACATCACACACTGCAGGGCGCTATCTGGGGCCCTATGTACATATCACTCTCTATAGGCACTATGGGTGACATCACACACTGCAGGGCGCTATCTGGGGCCCTATGTACATATCACTCTCTATAGGCACTATGGGTGACATCACACACTGCAGGGCGCTATCTGGGGCCCTATGTACATATCACTCTCTATAGGCACTATGGGTGACATCACACACTGCAGGGCGCTATCTGGGGCCCTATGTACATATCACTCTCTATAGGCACTATGGGTGACATCACACACTGCAGGGCGCTATCTGGGGCCCTATGTACATATCACTCTCTATAGGCACTATGGGTGACATCACACACTGCAGGGCGCTATCTGGGGCCCTATGTACATATCACTCTCTATAGGCACTATGGGTGACATCACACACTGCAGGGCGCTATCTGGGGCCCTATGTACATATCACTCTCTATAGGCACTATGGGTGACATCACACACTGCAGGGCGCTATCTGGGGCCCTATGTACATATCACTCTCTATAGGCACTATGGGTGACATCACACACTGCAGGGCGCTATCTGGGGCCCTATGTACATATCACTCTCTATAGGCACTATGGGTGACATCACACACTGCAGGGCGCTATCTGGGGCCCTATGTACATATCACTCTCTATAGGCACTATGGGTGACATCACACACTGCAGGGCGCTATCTGGGGCCCTATGTACATATCACTCTCTATAGGCACTATGGGTGACATCACACACTGCAGGGCGCTATCTGGGGCCCTATGTACATATCACTCTCTATAGGCACTATGGGTGACATCACACACTGCAGGGCGCTATCTGGGGCCCTATGTACATATCACTCTCTATAGGCACTATGGGTGACATCACACACTGCAGGGCGCTATCTGGGGCCCTATGTACATATCACTCTCTATAGGCACTATGGATGACATCAAACGCTGCAGGGTGCTATCAGGGGCTGTATGTACTTATCACTCTCTATAGGCACTATGAGTGACGGGAATATCTCACACCGACCTTAATATTCCCCGTCATCTCCTCCTCTGATTGGTTCTCGTTACTCTTCACTAAAATGTTCTCCAATTTCAGGTCTCTGTGGGCGATATCTGTGCAGAGACACCAACATGAAATCTAACATCTGATTGGTTGTTACAGAATACAAAGTTACATTGTATCAGCTGACTCCTTATACTGTATGTCCTGTGCACTCCAACCGCGAGTTCTCCCTCCTGATTCTGTTCCCGCCCACTAGGAGCTCTGGGTGTCCCAGCTGGGATGGTGGGGGCCCCTCATAATGGGCACAGCGGGTGTACAGACCCGGGAACTCAGCACAGGGATGGTGGGAGCTCCTCATAATGGGCACAGCGGGGGTACAGACCCGGGAACTCAGCACGGGGATGGGGGGAACCCCTCAGAGTCTCAGCAAGGAGTGTCAAGGAGTTAAGAAAGCAAAGTTAGCTCCCGATCAGTTTATAACTAGAAATGTGCACACAGATAGGACAATGCAGAGAACTATACAAGGACCCCCCTTCATACTCTCCAGTAAGTCATCACAAAAATCCAAATTAAACTATTTCAGATTATTAGGTTATAATCAGCGATTCTTCATCATTTCCATTTATCTGTGATGACCGGCAGTGCCCAGCAGGGGGAGCCAGTGGGCAGCAGTAGAAGGCACAATGATGCTGGTGATGCTGATTATTATCTGGCTGTGTATATGTCTTGATGATAAACTGCAGTTATTGGTGATCGATGGATGCGGCGATCAATCTGCATTCACAATCAACTTTGTAGCAAAAAAAAAAAAAATGCAGAACGCAGGAACTTGTTTAGACAATTGTGCTGCAGCAACTACAGCAACCCAAAAACACTGAGTTTCTGGTGTGAAGAAGGAAACATCTGAGCGGTTTCTATGGGCAACGTCGCAGCTTCTCCATTGGTCCAGGAGGTGAAGAGAAAGCAGCATATTCATTATAAGGGTGAAGTCTGCCCAAAAAGTGTGCACTGTGCCTATCAGCGCTGAACTAACGCCGGAGTGACCATGCCAAAAATTCCTGACCTGAAAAAAAGGGACATCAGGAAGGAAAGAGAAAGTGGTGTGCACCCCCTGTGCTGTGCCTGCCCCGATCACCACTTAGTATATAGAGCTCAGCCAGTGTCAGTGAAGCCGGAATGGAATGCAGAGGGCGCCCCCTGGTGTTCTGAGTCTGGTATGTATTTCAATGCAGAGGGCGCCCCCTGGTGTTCAGAGTCGGTGATGTATTTAAATGGCCAGAGTTCTGCTTTAACTGGTTTATTTCTTACATGCTGATATTTGCATAACTCCTCCCAAGAACCAGCCCACTGCTTGCATCAGGACTCTTTAGAGGAGTACAGGTGGCAGGGTGTGCTGAGGTTTTCAGGAAGCTATGTACAGATGTACAGCTGTGTGAATAGAGCCCAGGGCCCCAGTGTCCTCAGCTGTGTGATTAGAGCCAGGGGCCCCAGTGTCCTCAGTAGTGTGATTAGAGCCAGGGGCCCCAGTGTCCTCAGCAATTGGTGTGAATAGAGCCGGGGGGCCCGGTGTCCTCATTTGAAGTCTGCCCAAAAAGTGTGCACTGTGCCTATCAGCGCTGAACTAACGCCGGAGTGACCATGCCAAAAATTCCTGACCTGAAAAAAAGGGACATCAGGAAGGAAAGAGAAAGTGGTGTGCACCCCCTGTGCTGTGCCTGCCCCGATCACCACTTAGTATATAGAGCTCAGCCAGTGTCAGTGAAGCCGGAATGGAATGCAGAGGGCGCCCCCTGGTGTTCTGAGTCTGGTATGTATTTCAATGCAGAGGGCGCCCCCTGGTGTTCAGAGTCGGTGATGTATTTAAATGGCCAGAGTTCTGCTTTAACTGGTTTATTTCTTACATGCTGATATTTGCATAACTCCTCCCAAGAACCAGCCCACTGCTTGCATCAGGACTCTTTAGAGGAGTACAGGTGGCAGGGTGTGCTGAGGTTTTCAGGAAGCTATGTACAGATGTACAGCTGTGTGAATAGAGCCCAGGGCCCCAGTGTCCTCAGCTGTGTGATTAGAGCCAGGGGCCCCAGTGTCCTCAGTAGTGTGATTAGAGCCAGGGGCCCCAGTGTCCTCAGCAATTGGTGTGAATAGAGCCGGGGGCCCCGGTGTCCTCATCTGTGTGATTAGAGCCAGGGGCCCCAGTGTCCTCAGTAGTGTGATTAGAGCCAGGGGCCCCAGTGTCCTCAGTAGTGTGATTAGAGCCAGGGGCCCCAGTGTCCTCAGCAAGTGGTGTGAATAGAGCCGGGGGCCCCAGTGTCCTCAGCAAGTGGTGTGAATAGAGCCGGGGGCAATAGAGCCGGGTGCCCCGGTGTCCTCAGCAATTGGTGTGAATAGAGCCCGGGGCCCCGGTGTCCTCAGCAATTGGTGTGAATAGAGCCGGGTGCCCCGGTGTCCTCAGCAATTGGTGTGAATAGAGCCCGGGGCCCCGGTGTCCTCAGCAATTGGTGTGAATAGAGCCGGGTGCCCCGGTGTCCTCAGCAATTGGTGTGAATAGAGCCCGGGGCCCCGGTGTCCTCAGCAATTGGTGTGAATAGAGCCCGGGTGTCAGGATTATGTACAATATAGAAGATGATCCCCAGTTACCTTTCTTGTGCAGGTAGGCGATGGCAGAGGCCAGGCTGTGAATGACGTGTCTGGTTTCCGTCTCTGGGAAACGCTTTCTGCGCAGGAGGATCTCCCGCAGCTCCCCGCCCTCGCAGAGCTCCATCACCAGGTACATCCGCTGCAAAACAAACTGACAAATCTGAGACAAGGTGACAGAGAGCGGTGCAGGTGACGCAGAAGCATCTCACAACAGTGTGCTCAGCACTATGTAAAGCTGGCCATACAAGGGGCGGAAAGAGAAAAATGCTTTCATCCCCCCTGCCGGGCCATAGTAATCATGTAGACAGCACCCGCGGCCGTATGAACACCCGAAACAGCCCCTGCAGCTCATTGGCTGCAGTCACTGTCTGGCCGACAATTCTGGACCATTACTGATGACATCATCTCAGCCTAAGTGAAGTCAGTGCCTGGAGCTCAGGGACAGCTTTATAATGATACAATGTGGAGCTTTTCTGAGAAACAAATACTGTTACTGTATATTGTGAGATGTCAGGAATTTATTCATGGGGATTTGTAGCGTTACAAAGTGACAGGTCCACTTTAACGAGGAACTTTACTCATGTATGTGAAATGACAATAAACACAACTTTATAAATGTTTAGTGATGACAATCTACACACAGATACTTCTACAGCAGTGGTTCTCAACCTTTCTAGGGCCGGGACCCTTTGGTAACATTTGCCAAGTTGTGGTGACCCCCAACGATAAAATTTAGGGATGACGCGGCTGCTGCAGCGACATCTGGCGGCGTGGCGGGAGAACTGACACTGCCGCACTAGGAGAGGGCTGAGGAGGACCCTCACCTTATTATTGTTTATTTTTTTTTATAATTTTCATATTTTTTAATCATTTGTTTCTTATTTCTTTTTAATCGCTATTTAATTTTTGTAATTCTTTTTTTTTTATTTCTTTAATTCTTTTTGTATCTATTTTTTTTCCCACTTAACTTCATTGCTATCACACAGAGGTAACAAGCCCCTGTGTAATAGCAATTGGAGGTGACAGGTTCTCTTTATTGACCCTGTCATCTCCTGTGTAATAGCAATTGGAGGTGACAGGTTCTCTTTATTGACCCTGTCATCTCCTGTGTAATAGCAATTGGAGGTGACAGGTTCTCTTTATTGACCCTGTCTCCTCCAATGCAGGAGTCCTAGCACAGCACTGTGCTGGAACTTCTGTGACAGGTGAGAGAGGAAGACTGCTATCCCCTCTCACTGTGCACACGGAGCAGCAGGTTTACTTTTAACCCTGTCGGGGGTAAAAAAAAAAATTATCCTGGAAAGGTTTAGTCTGCTGGATGAGAAAGTTTTTTTATTTTTCTGACTGACGGCGGGCCCGACGTCAGAAAAAAAAAAGCAGAGAAAGTGCTTCTCTCCTGGGTGGCCGGAAGCCGCTAGGCGACCCCTGGCAAATCGTCATTCGACCCCCGACGGGGTCCCGACCCCCAGGTTGAGAACCAATGTTCTAGATAATTGCCGGCTTTTTATTCTTTGCGTTCCTTATTTATCTTTTTCCTCCCCATTCTTCTCACGGCTGCCATTTTTTTTACTAAGGGCAGATTATTAAAATATCTCCCTTTACTTCCTGGAACTCTGGCACACGTGACTAGGACATGTGACCGTGCACAGCATCTCAGGGGAGGAAAATGTCTTCTCCCTGAGATTACAGATGAGATTTCCCAGCAATGCTCTGCTGATGTCACCTCCCCAAGAAGCAATGCTTGGGCACAGATTACATCATTAATGCCCAATAGGACCAGGAAGTGGGAAAACAATAATTGTAAGTAAAATAAAAATATATTTAACTAATGAATGTCAGATGATTTCATATCATATATGCAGGAGGTGCATGCGGATATAGTTTTTAGTGAAAGGTGGTGAAGCTCCTGTACATCACAGTTTATTTATGTGGGTTGCCCTCAGTTGATACTAATTTGCAACATTTATGTATAAATATTATATCTGATCTGGACAATGTGGTTCTCAACCTGTGGGTCGGGATCCAAAAGTGGGTCACAACCCACAGTTGAGGGGGTCCCCACGTGCCTTGTGCTGCTCCTCAGCCTCCTCCTGGGGTGACAGAGTCAGTTCTCCTAGGTGGCGCTGCAGCGGCCGGAGAGGATCAGAGAGAGGGGAGCAGGCAGGAGGGAGGGGAGGTAAGTGCTCGATCACCATAGAGCCCACAACTAGGCACTACAGAGCCCGCACTGGACGCCACCAGAGAGTCCCACTAGCCACCTGGGAGCCCACACAGATACTAGTAGTAGTGGTGCATTCCTACATTTTACCGTTGGGGGTCACCACAACTTGGCAAATGTTACCAAGGGGTCCCGGGCCTAGAAAGGTTGAGAACCATGAACTGCTTCTTTTCCTGAAGTGATCTGCACTGCGGTAGAATATATCTAACAGGCGATCCCATCAGAGGGTGGGACCAGAGGGACATAGAACATTATGTAATGAACGCCGCCGTATTATGTGCTGCAGCAACCAATAGCAGTTTACTTTCCTGACGCCCTCTGGAATTAAAAAGCCAGACAAGCGGAGAGGCTGACCTTGGGGGTCTCGAAGACTTCCTCCAGGTGGATGATATGTTTATGACAAACTCTCTTCAAGATGGAAACTTCACATTCCAGCAGCTTGACAGCAGAACTCCCGGCCTAGAGAACGGAAAAAACGAATCAATTAATGATCACCCCAAAAAATGGGATATTTCTCTATATCTAGATACATGTGCAGCTACCCCAAAGGTAAGACCTAGCGCTATCTTCAGGGATGTCTGTAATATAAGACCTACCACCAAACTAGGTCTTATTTTCGGGGAAACACGGTCTCACCTTTTCTCGGTTGACTTTCTTGATGGCCCACTTCTTGCCGCTTTCCTTGTGTGTGGCTTCAATCACAACGCCAAAGTTCCCTTGTCCCAGCTTCTTCCCAAAAGTGTAAATTTGCTAAAAACGTAAACGTACATTTAATTAATGGCTAGTAATAGTAAGGAGAGAGGGGGAACGACTGGAAGGGAGAGGAGGGGAAGAGAGGAGGGGTGGAAGGAAGGGAGAGAGAGATAAGAGGGGGGTGAGTGGGGGAGAAAAGGGGGAGCAGGAGAGAGAGAGAGAAAGAGACTGTCGAGATTACTGCCGGGATCCGCCCAGCTGCGTGAGTGACAGCTGGCTCTGCCTATCTAAAGGCAGAGCCAGCTGTACCCGCCCCCTCCCCCATCCGTTCCGCCAGTCAGCGCTGGAGGATGTGACAGGGAAGAGGGGGGGAATCCCTGCGGGGAGCCGTGAGTGACAGTCACAGCTCTCTGCGGGGAGATGATCGAGAAGTGAGCGAGCGACGGTATGTGTTCGCTCACTTCCCGGTCTATTGAGCTGACGTGTGATAGTTTCATTGTCACAGGTCGGCTAGAACTATGAGGCCGAGTGATTTTCACTCCCCTCATAGTTCTCCTTTAACTGTTTTCTTCAATTGGCAGAGGGGACAGAGACAAGACCAGTCACCCTGCACAAGAAGAGAGAGAGCAGCAGTGGGCGGTCTTTATTACAGGAAGGGGCGGAAACAAGACCAATCACCCTGCACAAGGAGAGAGAGCAGCAGTGAGCGGTCTTTATTACAGGAGGGGCGGAACAAAGACCAGTCACCCTGCACAAGGAGAGAGAGAAGCAGTGAGCGGTCTTTATTACAGGAGGGGGCGGAGACAAGACCAGTCACCCTGCATAAGGAAAGAGAGAAGCAGTGAGCGGTCTTTATTACAGGAGGGGCGGAGACAAGACCAGTCACCCTGTACAAGGAGAGAGCAGCAGTGAGCGGTCTTTATTACAGGAGGGGGCGGAGACAAGACCAGTCACCCTGCATAAGGAGAGAGAGCAGCAGTGATTGGTCTTTATTACAGGAAGTCTCACACGGGATGACTGCACAGATCTGGAAGAATACACAGGACTCTGGTATGGGGACAATGTCTGCTGATCCCGGAGTTCAGCTTTAAGATTTAGGAAGAGCCAATCACTGCAGCTACAGAACAGAAGCAGGTGAGTAAAGTTCCGGTGATATACACAGTGAACCTGGAGCGGATGATAAAACGTTCAGTCAGGAGAGCGGAGATCCCGGAGAGGACACGTGCATCGTACGGGCCGGGATAGAAGATCCCTACAGTGATCCCATGCTAGGACTATAATGATTAGACTCATCCGATGATCAGGGTGATGAGCGCTCGTCTCTCCCGCATTCAGCGTGATACATTACATGAGATTACAGCCGGCGCATACCTGGATTGCAGCTTCATCGTCCATGCGAGTGTGCGGGACTTTGTTGTCTGCGCTGTTGCTGCGAGACCACTGCGACGCCATCTTCTTATTTGCATCGGCACTCTCCGGGCTCAGCATCTGAAACACAAAGAGCGTCCGAGTGCAAACGCTGCAAACAGGACAAAGTGATACAGAAAGATTGTTGGCAACATTGTTATACATTTACGCTTCTTTCAAGTGAACCTGTCATGACAGAAATACAGGACACGCTGTCGCTGACTTGCTTTTATAGGTTCCGGAGCCGTCATCCTCATCCTGATATCACTATATGGCGAGGGCCTGACTGGGAACAAGCATGCAGGTCAGGGGTGCAGCCTTTCCAAATTTCACTGGCTGCATGCTTGCTACAAATAGCTGGCTCTTTAAGCAGTAAAGCCGGGATCAGAGTAAACAGCCCTATTATACATATATATAGCTCTGACATATACTGCAGCGCTGTACAGAGGAGCTTACACTCTAATGTCCCCTCCCCCCACAGTCACATCAGTCTCCATACAGAGGAGCTTACACTCTAATGTGTCCCCCCCCCACAGTCGCATCAGTCTCTGTACAGAGGAGCTTACACTCTAATGTCCCCTCCCCCCACAGTCACCTCAGTCTCTGTACAGAGGAGCTTACACTCTAATGTCCCCTCCCCCACAGTCACATCAGGCTCTGTACAGAGGAGCTTACACTCTAATGTCCCCTCCCCCCACAGTCACCTCAGTCTCTGTACAGAGGAGCTTACACTCTAATGTCCCCTCC